AATACTAATTTAATCAGTAAAATACTAATTTAAATACTAATTTAATCAGTAATCAGTAAAAATATTTACAAAATACAAAATTCAGTTTCCATATGCGTTCCTTTCATTCTTCGCAATTTTCTATCAATTTTTCGTTACATATCCTATAAAAAGAAATCCATAGATTTTCTTAAATTATCAGATTTTGTATTTTTATATTTTTTAGATAGCCTTATTCGTTAATTCTAATACTAATTCTAATACTGACTGACACAATCTACAGCTAATGAGTTAATGACAAACATTTGTATATGTAGCAACAGTTAGCGAGTTAAAATAGGAGAATTCATGAATAATAGTCACTCTCTTATCAGTTATATATGTATATATATAAAACAAAATATTTATATCGATATGCCAACAATTAAACAGAACTGCAAAAAAAAAATGGAATTACATTCAGAAACCTCATAATCATTTCCTGTTAAAACGAAATTTAATCATTTTCATATAGAGAATTTTTTGATTACGAGAAAACAAGACAAACCAATAGACCTATTAAAGAAACTGTTAAATTCTGCTTGGATTTCTCTAGAAGCATTCAGTGGAGATTTCGACTTATCTGAATGCAGTAGATACTGGAATTACGACCGCAAATCCAAGCATTAATAAGGGAATGAAAATATGGGTGAGAACTCTCAGTCAAAACAAAATGACACTCGACTCTTATCCCTCCTCATATTTTCAAAATGCATGAAGAATGATATAATTATAGAAATATTAAAGAAATATTTGAGACACTAATAGTCAATTAGATGTAAATCGTAATGTTTGAAAAATCATTCGCATTGTTTGCCAAATTAACCACAAGAAGGGCAAACATGGACGATTAAAATGGATCTTCTCGAGAAGAATCCACAGTTGGATATCCTCCAGAAGAATATCCAATTACTTAAAAAATTCTGGATAATAGCGTTATAAGCAAATGCAATTAGTTAAAAGATGCGACACAATAATATAAAAAATTCTATACAATTCAATTTAAATTTTAATGAAAGTGATTAATCACGTGGATATTGCTTAGATTCTCAGCTTTTCATAAAATCTAAATTTTATATAGAAAATTGAAACATTGAAATTAGAAAATGCAATTAGAAAAATAAGAAATGCAAGAGAAGGTGTTTGGAATGTTAGGAGGATTCGAAAAATATTATTAAACGCATTGGAAAGATGTTAGAAAAATTTTAAAAATATAATTAAAACTCTGAACGCGCTAGAAGATTTTCGAAAATAATCTTGAAACGTTGAAACTGTCAGAAAAAGAACAAAACGAAGAGAGCTAAGCTCTATGGAATGTTGGGAAAATTCAAAATATAATTAAAAGTACGTTTTAATAATTCACTAAAAATATAATATACATATTATTTTATTTTTATATTATTATATTAAAAATATATTATTTTATTTTACTTTTTTATTTTATTATAATTTTCTTTAGAATGTTCTTTTTTTTCGTTTTCCATTTCTTTCATTCGACTACCGGTAAACTTTACATTGCAAAAGGCCGTTATTTTTTATTCTATATTGCAATGGCTTTAGCAAGCGGAGGAAGGCACTTCTAGCTGGAACTACCAGGCTGGGGAACTTTTTACTTTTTGCAGTTCAATTTAATCTAATAAAATTTATAAATTAATTACAGTTTTTTTAGTTATTCATTATTACAAATTTTATGCAATATTTTGCTTCATTTTTTTCAGAATAATTTTAGAATTAATTCATTTACAGCAATAAAATAGATGTTCTTCTTTCTTTTTCATTTGATGAAATGACGACATTTGATGAAAACAGTTGTAAAATTTCCGCCATTTCAGACTTCAACATAGCTAATCCACATTTATATGGATTATGAAGGTCTCCTCGATTTCGATTCAGTTAAATACGGCGTTGGAAGATTCCAGGATTTTAGGCCGTTAAAATCATTTCCTATATTTATTACAAAGATATATCAAATCAAAGATAAATCAAAGATGAATTTTCTTGCCGGAAAATAGAAAAAGTGTTGGAGATTTGCAAATGAGATCGTTCGATAGGCATTGAATAACAGAATTGTGTTTGTGCTGCAAAATTTCAATAGTAAAATGATGTCTAAAACGTGTCGAAAAAAATTGCGGTAGTGGCACAAGTCCAGGAAGCATTTTACGAATATTAATCGTTATTGTAATAAAAAATAAAATAGCACTGTAGGAACAACAGTTGACGTAATATTATAATTATTAAGTAATATTAATCCTTTATTCTCATATTTATTTATTTATTCAGAAATGTGATGATAAACGAACATAGGAGAACATTGCGCAAGCAGTATAAGTGGTTGGCTTTGGCGACTCGCTTAAATAAGAATTATCTTCCACAGGACTGGTCGAAGATACGTGCGTTCCTGTAGAAACATTTTACCATTACGTTCAGCTTAAGAAGGAATGGAGAAAGCTTTTGCAAGAAGAATTTTGAAGAATAATGAATTTTATTAATCGCAGATTGTTTACATATTTTATCACTTCATTATATCATCTATCACTTATTTTATTTAAATTTTATGTAATATTTTGTTTCATTTTTTTCATATAACTCATTCAATTCAGCAAACATTGCCTTTCTGTTTCGACATTATTTGATTTAAAAAATCATGAAAAAATCATTTATTCCGTACTTTATTCACATTCCAAAAGATGTTACGGTGTACCGGTGATTAATTCAAGGTTAATCGAAAAATATAATATAAATATATAAATATAAAATATAAATATGATATAAATATAAATACAGAAAAATAAATGTATAATATAAAATATAAAAAAATACGTAAATATAAAAACATAAATATAAATAAAATATATAAATATATAATATAAAATTATAAATATAAATGTATGAAATATAAGTACAAAAATATAAATGTAAAATATAAGAAAATAATAAATTAATAAATTAATATATTATTATATGTTAATATAGTATAATATATTACAGTTAATATATTAATATATAAATAAATATATATTACGTATTTTTATACATATATAAATAAATATAAATATAAAGTTTATCGAAAAATATATATTGCAATAATATAATAGTGAAGTTTTTTCAGTGGCCCATAACGAAGATTAAAACGTGGAATTCGATGAAAGAAGTTAATGTATGGTTGGAGATCAGTGGTTTGTGGAAATCCATTTCAATGAGAATTTCTCAATTACGGAAAAAAAAATTTAGAAAATAAAAACAATTTTAAAAACAATTTGAAATATTTTGTCACAAAATGCAATTGTAAATGTAATTCAATTGTAAACGTAAAGACAATAATAATAATAATATTAAAATAATAATAATAAAATATAATAATATTTATTTATCATGTGGTTATTTCCGGAAACAGAAAAAAACCTTCCGTTATTTGGTTTATAATTTTTTATAATGCATTAATTTGCAATTGTAAAAAAAAATTTTTATTTGTCAGTGTGCCAATACAGGAGGAATTTCATAAACAATAATTATTGCAATATGATTGTATATTAAAAAATATTGCGATATAATATTGTAATTATAGCAGTGATTATAGTAATTTTTATAATATCAAATATCAAAATTACTATTAATGCTATTAAAAATCATATTAGCAATGAATATTTATTAATAAATATTATTGACATGATTAATTTATTAATAATTATGGCCCAATAGAAAAGTAACTGTGGTGATAAACTTATTTTCTATGAAAGAATGAAATTTCGAGGGTTCGGAAATATCTAAAAAAACTTTTCTGAAATTCAATCATTGAGATGTTTGCACTTCTCAATATGTGATAATCACCTTGAAAATCACTTTAATAGCTCAAAACAGTTGATGAGAAATAAATTAAAAATAATAAATGACAGAATTTTAAGAAATGTAAGTAAAAAAAACGAAGATTATATAATTTTAATTAAAATTATATAATTTTATAATTTATATAATTTTTATAATTATATAATTTTATATAACTATATAATTTATTAAAAATATATAATTTAATAATATAATTATAATGATTATATGATTATGTAATTTTTTTGCAAATGTCAAAAACTGCGGAATTAAGCAATCAGTTAAAATAATTGATTATCACTATTTGATTAACGAATATTTGATGTGAAAGTGAATAAAAGAGAGTAGAAAAAAATTATATAAAAAGGTTAGTAAAAAAACGGAACTGATCATTTGTAACTGATTGAAAGCCGCGAGTTACGATGAGCTTCTTTTATCTGCCTTTATTATATTTCATTTCTTGCGTAAATGCTGGTGATGTGCCAATTAGTACATGTAATAGGCTAATTCCGCCAGCAGCAGCACAAGCTGGTGGACGTGGAGTTCAACCAGAGCCAATGTACCGCCCAACCGTCGATCCAAATTTGTGTTTCGACTTGGATCCAGCGTGTTCAGCCATATTCAGTTTGCAAGCCCCACAAGTGACAATTCCAGACCAACTTGATCCGTAAAAAAACTTTGTATTAAATCACCATTTAAAAAAATTAATTTCCTTCGCATATTTATAAAAAATCCATTGAATTGGATTTTTTAAACAAGAAAATCAATATTATAAAATAATACAAAAATTATGATCGATGATAAAATTTGATTATATTTATGTTTTATGTAAATGTTTTATGTTATGCTTCGTTTCAGTACAAAGGGCTATAAAGTAAGCGAAAATTGTCAAAATGCAAATTATGTGCGCCTAGCCGAACAACTGTGTCCTCGAACATGCGCAACGTGCTGCAAAACAAGAAAGTTCAACTGCGGAAATGGTTTTAACTTTCTTAAAAATTTTATATTTAAGAACTTTCTTATAAATATATGTTTTAAAGTTATTTTAAAGTTGAATTGGGTTTTAAAACTAAATGTTAATTTTAAAAGTATTTTAAATAAATAATGAATTTTATAAAGTAAAAATTACAGTGGGACAGTGCGAGAATTTTACGCAAGAAATGTGCAGAACACCTTATCTTAGCAGAATAGCATTCGAATTTTGCCCACACACATGCGGACTTTGTGACTTACCTGGTGCTGGTGGTGAATGTCCAGACAGCATTGATGGGTGCGAAAGTTTGAGGGGATTTTGTCAACTTGACTCGATTAGAAATATTTGCCAGAGAAGCTGTTTTTCAAAGGCTTGTCTTCAAAACATCACAAGTAAGTTGCAGAGATGATTTCTTAACTGGAAATTTCCTCTGCTTATGTTCAGAATGATAGCGGTGCTATCGAAAACTTATTACTGTAATTTAACCATAAGCTTAAGGAATTAGTGCTATTTTTGCATAAATGTTGAACATATGTTATACTCGATTTAATCTGCGGAAAAAAAACGAATTTGATTTTCAGTTTCGCAATCCAGTGGCTGCACTGATGCACATGTTGACTGTCCTTCATATCGGCACCTTTGCGATATCGGTGATTATGGAACTGTGATGAGAACACAATGTAGGCGAACCTGTGGCCATTGTTGATCGACATAAAACTATTCCTTATTAGATATTCGCAAAAAATTGTGTTCTGTATTCTGTTTAACAAATATAAAAAATAATTTATCACCATTAGCATTTTAATACATTATAATACATTAGAATTAACAATCTACATAATTTATATCATATAAATATTATAATATTACATTCTTTTATTACTTCGGCCTTTTCTTTTGACAGTGAGGCTTATAGAAAATATTTAGTCGTATTCTAATCGTATTCAATCAAGCCTAGCCTTCTCACCATTTTATGCCAAGAAAAATTATAGGAGGATTTCAGAGCGATGTTCCAACACTTAACATAACTGGCCAATAAGGCCACGTCATAGTAATTGAAGCTATTCTTTTTCCACCGTCTAAGTCTATATAGCTGGTCCATCTAAGCGTTCAAGATCATTCCTGATTGTCTTAGCCCAGCTCTTGATTGAACCACCTCGTTTTTGACGCTTACAGGGCTTAGCAAGTAACGAAATGTGCATTAGTTCGTGTTGAGAGCAACGAGGAAATGCCCATGTAGCGAAGGTAAATGCTGATAGCGCTATCAATGCAGATGCCCCTATGATTATAACATTATTTCGAAGTATTATTGAAATGCTATTTTAACGTTTCAATCGTTGCCAATCGTTTCCTTCTTTTTGTATTTATTAGCGATTAGGATGGCTTAATTTTATTTTTTATTGTTATTCGATAATTTTCAAGAAATTAAGTCTCTTCTTTCAAGTCGAAGAAATTATTAAATTATTTAATCTTCTTCGTGGAAATTTTTTGTTTTCCTTATTGAACTTAGACGATATTCGGCCGCGACGAATGGTTCATTAAATCTGAACAAACTCGTCCAGTTGCCTTACTACCAGCAGCATAAGAATGCAAGCATCCTATATAAGTAAACTGCATCAAAAAGCAGATAATAATCAAATCAATATCAATAATAACATTGCAAAAACAATAATATTAATTTCAATAATATTAATTACATTAGTGGCAATGATTATTATAATATTAATAATCTTTGCCCAGGAAAAAAGTAACCATTGTGGGAAATTCATTTAAAGATGGTTTTGTTCAAAGTGATCACATGTTCTTCGAGTCGTGAAAGAGGCGAGATCGAGGTTTTTTGCTTATAATAAAAAAGTTTCTAATATTTCGGCAATAAAAAATCATTAAAAAGCAGTGAAATGTTTTCGTGATCCATGAAAATTCTGGAATACTTCTCAAATTTTTTTCGAATTTTGAAGTATTGAAACAAATGAAAAAGCAAATAATTGAAAAATTCGCCCGATATTACTATTTGATCAGTGAATATTTCCTGGCGAAAGATGCAACTGAGTATAAAAAGGCGATGAAAAGTGTTATATAGTTCATTTGAGCTTCGACATCCATACTTTCCATGTATTTCTTCTATCTCTCTCTCTTACTTTTTATTTCTTATGTAAATGCTGTTGATAGAGCAATTAATGTATGCAGACAAGCAGTTCAAGTGCCAGCACAACCCGCACAAGGAGGAGCAGTACTACCTAGAAATCAACAACCTGCACCACCTCCACCTGTACAACGCCCAACCGTTGATCCTAACCTGTGTACCGATCTCAATCCAGAGGCATGTTCAGCCATATTCTCGGCCGAGGCAGAAACGCTTCGAGATCAACGTGATCCGTAAAATTTTTTAAAATCAATTAAGAAAAGAGGAAATTATTGTTTATGTAGCATAGAGAAATTCTTTATCCTTATATTTCCTTAAAAGAAAGAAAAATAAAATCAGCAATATTCAATATTTGAAAATGAATTAAAAACTTTGCTTCAATTTTCCCGTGAAAATGCCTTATTTCAGCACAAAAGACTACAAAGTAAACGAAAAATGCCAAATGCCAATTTATATGCGTTTAGCCGAACAATTATGTCCACACACATGCGCTACGTGTTGTAAAACAAGAAAGTTCAACTGCGGAAATGGTTTGATGGCATTTTTAAATATTATTATCAAAAATACATTACAAATTAAATAAAAAAAACCTTCAATGAGCTAATGCTGAATTTTCAGTTGGTTATTGCGAAAATTTCTCGCAAGAAATGTGCAGAACGCCTTATCTTAGTAAAATAGCATTAGAATTTTGCCCACATACATGTGGACTTTGCGATTTACCAGGTGCTGGCGGTGAATGTCCGGACAGCATTGATGGATGCGAAAGTTTGAGGGGATTTTGTCAACATGATTCGATTAGAAATATATGCCAGAGAACGTGTTTTTCACGCGCTTGTCTTCAAAACCTCACAAGTGAGTTGCAAGGATAATTATTTCACTGATTATTTCCACTTTTCCACATTTATGTCCAGAAAGCTAAATTATAGTGAAGCTTTCATAGAACTATTGCTGTAATCGGAATTAGCACTATTTTCCCTCCATAAATGATAATGCTGAAAAAAACGAAT